ACGAGGGGGGAAGCATTGCGGGAAGCCATCAGGAGTGGGAGGGGGAGTGGGAATACAGATAATGGTTTAAGAATGATTGTTTATTTGATTATATGGTGATATTTCCGAGAAAAATAAAATTCTCTGCTCCTTGGGAGGAAAGCAATGGCGAATCAAAACAGCATGATAAAAAGTAGAGACATCACCCTGCCAACAAAAGTCCACATGGTCAAAGCTATGGTATTCCCAGTAGTCATGTATGGCTGCGAGAGTTGGACTATAAGGAAGGCCGAGCGCCGAAGAATAAATTCTTTTGAACTATGGTGCTGGAGAAGACTCTTGAGAGTCCCTTGGACTGCAAGGAGATCAAATCAGTCAATCCTAAAAGAAATCAACCCTGACTGTTCCCTGGAAGGTCAGATAATGAAACTGAAGCTCAAATATTTTGGCCACCAAGTGAGAAGGGAGCACTCACTGGAGAAGACCCTGATGCTGGGAAAGATTGAAAGTCAAAGAAGACGGGGACGGTAAGGATGAGATGGTTAGACAGTGTCATAGATGCAACGAACATGAAATTGAGCAAACTTCAGAGGACGGCGGAAGACAGGAAGGCCTGGCGTGATCTGGTTCATGGGGTTGCGAAGAGTCAGACTCAACTGTGCGACTGAACAAGAACAAATATTATTATCATGATGACTCTTTTGTTTGGGTGAGGTAAGCCTGGGTCAGGAACCCTGCTGGGGTAAAACATCTCGATGGGGTGAGGAGAACTTTGAGGAAGAAGGCGATTTCACATTGTCGGGTTTGGTAATATTTATTTTAAACATTTGGCCTCATGTTTCTGGGTTTCCTTGAGAGTCTGCTTTAGTACAGTGTGTTTCACTCCTATTAAAGTAAAAGGTCAAGGTTTCCCACAGTAACAAGATAGGTAGCCGTGTTAGCCTGTCTGTAGCAGTAGAAAAGAGCAAGAGTCCAGGACCACCTTAAAGGTAAAGGTTCCCTTGCTCCAAATCCCGTCGAATCCGACTCTAGGGTTGCAGTGCTCATCTCCGTTTCCAAGCTGAAGAGCCAGTGCTGTCCGAAGACGTTTCCGTGGTCATGTGGCCGGCATGACTAAACACCAAGGCACACGGAACGCTGTTACCTTCCCACCGAAGTGGTACCTATGTATCTACTTGCAATTTCTTGCTTTCGAACTGCTAGGTTGGCAGGAGTTGGAACTAGAGACGGGAGCTCACTCCGTCATGCGGCACACGCGGGTCTCGAACTGCTGAACTACCAACTTTCCACAGTTTGCAGTTCAGCGTCTTTACTCGTTCTCATAATCTTATATATCTTATACATTGCAAATGTCGGCCTTGTAAAAAACATTTATTATTTAAAAATCTGCGACACGTTTTCACCTGCTTAGTGGGTGCTGGCATGGAAACACTGCCCAGAGGGAGGTGCTTCCTACAGAGAGGTGGGGTGAGTGGTTGCCAAGCAACGGTAAAGAAGGAGGGGTGTGCTAGAGTTGCCAACCTCCAGGTGGGGCCTGGAAACCTCCCAGAATTACAACTGATCTCTAGGCAACAGATAGCAGTTCCCCTGGAGATAGGGTTGTCAGGTCCTCCCTGGCCACTAACGGGGGATGTGGGGTAGGGTTGCCAGATCCAGGTTGAGAAACTCCTGGAGATTTGGGGAAGGAGCCTGGGGGAGGACAGGGACCTCAGTGGGGCACAATGCCACAGCGTCCACCTTACAAAGCATCGATTTCCTCCAGGGGAACTGATCTCTGTAGTCTGGAGACGAGCTGGAATTCTAGGGGGGATCCCCAGGTCCCGCCTGGAGGCTGGCATCCCTACCTGGGAAGAAATGGCTGCTTTGGAGGGCGGGCTCCTTGGCATTATACCCCACTGAGGTTCCTCCCCTTCCCAAACCCCACCCTTTCCAGGCTTTATCCCCAAATATCCAGGAATGTGTCAACCCAGAGTTGGCAACAGTAGGATGAACTTCAAAAGGGAGAAGCAGATAGAGAAGAAGCTGAGGCATATTTCTCCTGAGGGTGTAGAGAATTTCTGAAGAAGACATTCCAGGGGAGAAAGGCCTGTGCAGATGGGGGAAGGCAGTCATCAGAAGAGCAGCCATCTTCTGATGTGGGTGTTCAGTCCTGAGTGTTTGTGTGGTTTCTTCTGCTATCACTTTGAGAAAAGGGGCTTCCCAGAGCTGGTGAAGAAGACAGACCTTATGACAGACCCCTGCTGCTTCTTCTCTGTGAGGCAGATTTCCCCACCAAAACACTGTTCCCCACTCTGACTGAGCAGCCTCTTAGTAGCATATCTGAATTATGGGAGTATAACTTTCTGTGTGTCCCACCCTGCGATACAGAAGTTATGTGGCTTCTGCCCAGACCAGAGTTTTATTGTAACTCAGCAGGAGCCCTCTTATAAATAAATCCCTTTGGAAATGGCACTTGACACAGGGAGCATTGGTGCCAAACCTGGCATTGAGACTGCAATCTGTTTCCCTCACAGGGACCTCGTCCTGTCTCAGGGGTTTCCCACACCCAGAAGGTCATGGCGGTTTTCCTAGATCAGGACAAACATTTGTTTTGACGCGTTCCCCCCGCTCAGCAACCCACATCCCTTAAACGGCAGGCAAGCCGATCCCCAGCCGTTTTTCTGCTGATTTCTTAGAAACTCCTGCTTGACAGGAAAAGAAGTTATGCAGCTCAGTTGACTGCAGCACAAAACAATGCACAGTCCTCCCTCCTGAGACTGCAATCTGTGTCCCTCACAGGCCCCACCGGAAAGTTGGCCTCTGCGCCTCGCCTAGGGCGCGGAAGCACCTGGAGCCGGTCCTGCTCACAGGGACCTCGTTTTGTCCAGGCAAGCGCTTGCACTTTCAGTTTCGACCCCCAGCCGTTTTTCTCCTGATTTCCTAGAAACGCCTGCTTTAAAGGAAAAGAAGTTATGCAGCTCAGTTGACTGCAGTACAAAAGAACGCACAGTCCTCGCTCCTGAGCCAGCGGCCGACTTTCTCTTCCCTGCGACGCCTCGACAGAACGTCTCCTCCCTCCCGCGATCAAGGTGAGCTCTCCACGTGTTGATTTGCTTGTTTTTAAGCGAACCTAGTCTGAGGCGCGATCTTGTCGATGGGGTTGCGAAGAGTAGGACTCCACTGTGCGACTGAACAGCAACAACAACAAAAGTCTGAGGCCAATGTTGATGGTTTTTTAACCCCGCTCTGCTAGTCACATAAAACCAGCCCTTCTGGCTGAAGCCGCTTGTAAACTCTTCCTTTATTGTGTTGGTATTACGCAATGGGTGGGAATAACAACTGGAGGTAGACTGTGGTGGGTGCTTTGCACATCTCCCCAGAACAGCCTAGGATTTCTCCCCCCACCCCAAATCTCCTGCCACATATTTTGTTAGTCTTTAAGGTGCTAGTCTTTAAGTTCGGCAGTTGGAGACCCGAGTGCCGCCTGAGCTCCCGTCTCTGTCCCCAGCTCCTGCCAGCCTAGCAGTTCGAAAGCAAGAAGTTTTTGCAAGTAGATAAATAATTTCAATTTTACTTTATGCGGATGATATGGCCCTAATATCACTTACAAAAATCGGGATGAGAAGATTATTGCAGCAATTAGGAACATACTGTAAGGAAGAGACCCTTAACATTAACTTTGATAAAACCAAAGTGATGGTCTTTAGAAAAAGAGCTCAAATTTCCTCCTGGAGCATTCTTGGTAATTCAATAAATCAGAGTAGTACCTTTAAGTATTTAGGGATTACATTTAGAGAGAATCTGAACTGGAACGCTCATATAGCCATAGTAAAAGCATCTGCGACGAGGATTGTGGGATCCATTTTGAAGTTCTATTATACCAAGGGAGGTTTTCTTATTGATCCTGTTATAAAATTATTTAAAAGTAAGGTCATTCCCCACCTCTTGTATGGTGCCGAGGTTTGGGGATGGAAA